AAGAACTTTTTAAAAATTAAGTTTTATTTAATCACATATTATTATTGAACTTGATAATAAGAAAATTGCTCAATACAAAGAGTGAAGAGACTACTGGAACCTGACCGGTCGTTAATATGCAACAATGGGTTGACTGGTAATAAAACTTATTTCGATAGAAATATTAACTGTCGACATGAATTCGCTGACCATTTTAAACAATACGAAGAATAACAAAGAATGATTCTATAAAATTTAAAAACATTAGGAAGTAATCGATACAAATCGAATTCCTACTTGTACTACTCATATATTGCTTCGTTATTATGCCACAGTGAATATGGAAGTATCAATCTCAGTCAACATGTAAGTGCGAACGAAAGCCAATCTTTAAGCGTCATTCGACAGAAACCCGATACATATTTATTGTTAAAAATGATACAAGAAAGGAATTCTAGATTACCACTACGTCTATGTTAACTGAGTCTTCAGAATTGGCGCCTACATAAGGTGAACAGTTCAGTCTATTTCATGTCATCAAACTAATTTTAGTTACGGTCAGAAACCAGTGATTGTTAATTATAGACTCTAAACTACTGAAATATAAAGCTAATCTATAAATAAATATTTTTATTATGTTAAATTAAAGAAAAAACGTGTTTAGGATTAGTTGAACAATTTAACCATAATCTTAATCAACTGTGAAGCAAACAATAGTAAATGTTGATGTGTATAAATTATTCAAAGCTATTAAAGAAAATCTCAAACAAATTTATTCAAGCGGTTTAAAATGTTCCATTCTCTATCCCATATGTATGTTTATGTTTGTAGGAGAAAACTAACTTTTTCTACGTTCATTTATTGCGACGGTAAAAACGGGTGTGAAAAGATTATTGTTGTCAGTAAACAATTAAGTTTTATTAGATTCATTCCTACGCGATCAGGCTAATGAAAATGTATAAATGGAAACTGAGAAAATAAATTTATCCTCTAGTTTTATTGTAGTATAAAAACCTTTATCATTAACTAATAATATTTTCAAAAGGGATAAAGAAAGAATTAACCTAGTATAAATTAGAAATTGAATCCTTAACTGAAACTACACAACAGTTCATAGCTTCTTAGTCTTTTTTCGTGTTTATACTTGTCTAGGCTATACTACTCGACGCTTTACAATGGATAGAAAAAAGAGTGATCGTAGTAAGATTACGCTCATAAAATCTTTCAAAAAAACATATAAGCGAATGCTCCAACTAATAGTAAAGTTGTATTCTTTATTAAATTATATCAAAACAGCCTATCTGCAGGAACTGTTTAGTTGGGAGTATATTTTAAAGTGGAGGATGGTATCAATCAGAAGCAAAGTGATTTACACAGCTATTTTACCGTAGCAGGAGTAGTAGTAGTAGTATCTACCCATTATCTTATATACAATAGAACCTAGGTTCTTTAGCTTACCATAAGGAAGCATGGTTTTTGGTAATTTAGAGTGATATTATTAACCCCATCATCGAATGGTATTAATTTCACTCTTTATATGGTTGAGTCCCATTAGCTGTGTGCAACCCAGGAGATCTATTGGAAATCTTCTTAAATCCCGTCAGTAGTGAGCTAGGGTAACCATTAAGTCAAATGTATTATAGACTTCATGTCATATAAATGAATTAACTATCCAATGCTGTTTGGCTTTCAATAGCTCTCTAGTTAATATTGATTTGTTATGAAAATAAATAACAAAATGAAGAATCACTGTATACACCTTATCTTAATAAGTAAATACTATATTTATTTAAGCAGAACAAATATATCAATAAAGATATAATAAAAAGCAACCAATCATTTTGCACTGTTTGCTTTTATATCATTGAACTGATAAATACAATAATAGCAATAATAAAGATAATAATTTTTTTTAAATAAAGAAACCAATTTGCTTTACAGTTGAGTGATTTAAAGATTCTATAGACTAGATAATCATTGATTTGGAATTTGTTCTTTATTGATTAATTGTTATAAATTAAACCTTGCTATTTTGCCAATCTGATATGATATCATCATCAATATGGTTAATTCAAAATACATGGACCCGTAGTGTTATCAAAAACGGTAAATGTTACTCTGTTAAAAATTCCTACATAAACATTGTGTAGTTAAGGTAATAGTTTCAATTATGAATGTGGTTATTTCTTAGTGGCACTACAAGATATTAAAAAAGCTTGCTTAATGTCTAAGTGCGATATAAAGAATTGATCGGAGGTAGAGATTTAACACCGGCTCAGTGGTCCGGAGGTTAGGTGTTCTCGCGCAATACCGAAGGTCCTGAGTGCAGGAATTGTGGACGCGCACAGCTGATGAGTTCCATAACAGGACTAAACGGCCGTCCAGTGCTTCCAGGTTTCTAATGGTGGTCTAACTTTGATCACTTCATGATTACAAATAAAGAAAACAGTAAGCAGTATTCTGTAAAATTTCTTGATTTTTAACCTTTAATTTTCTAATTCACTTTTACCACAGACTGATATCAGTTGGATAGCATGCAAAAGCACAATACTCTTGAATATTTGTCACATCTTAGTTTGAGATTTGTAACAACATCTATTCTAAATCCCAAATGAGATGATACTCTACTGAGTTGAAATATATCAGTCTATATTTTCTAGTCCTTAATATTGTTTGACCATTGTTGAACGGTAACTCATAAAAAATCTTGGTGATTTTTAATTTCAAACTGAATTATCTCCATAAATTCTCTATTCAATGAATAAGTTATATTTAAAGTTATCTTATTTTGATAAAGAATCAACATAATTTGATTTGTGTTTACAGATGATAAGAAATCCTTGTTAAATAAATTCATCGATGGGTATCTTCAATATTTTAAAGAAATATCCTGTCGTTCATTTCCACTTCTTATAAAATAAGGAACACAAATCCTTCCTAGTCAGTAAATGTTTTTAAATTAAAAAGTAGAGAGAGAAAGCGAGAAATAGTAGAAGATATTTCCTTGCTTTGAAATAAAATTAACCCAAAGAAAGTGAAGAAATCAACCGAATTCATATTCGTCGTACAATATCCTCTTCGATTCACTAATACATAGTGTGTTTTATGAGGTGTTAAGGTTTACATTGACCGTTTTACTAACAATCAGAACTAAACTGACCGGTTTCTATTGCCATTGAACACACACTTCAATACAACTTTGCATTTACATATTGGGTATACTTTTTCATTGTATTTAGCTTCAGTAACAGAGATTCATATTTATGCTTTATTATTATGAATCTTCAAAGAAATGAGTATATGATAGATCAACTCGAAACTGTATAGACTATGCGATTTACGAGTCTTAAACATGACAAAACATACATCTTGAAAACTACCATCATTATACCAAAACTGTCTGAGAACATTCATAAATCTTTACGCTTTTTCTACAGTTAATATTCAAACTGTGATTAAAAAAAGGCAACATTGACTTAAATTCAAAAACAGACAGACAATTATTCCTCAAAACAAACTACTAATCATCACTTCTTGAATAGCTTAGTTCAGCAAACTTATTTGAATTTTATCAGGGTAATGGACAAAATAAAAATTATCAAAGAATATATATATATATATTTTCACAAATAACCTTTCTTCTTTAGTCGGTGCCCAATTTCTATCACACTATTCGTTCAAATATCGATAAATATTCGTATAAAATTCATCTTTTCTCACTAAACCCTAACCATATTTTTCTTAAATATCTTATAAGTCAAACAAATTGTTACAGATTTTAATTTGTACCAAAAATTTGCTCTGAAGCATTTTTCAATGAAAGCAAAGTAATATAATCGTTGTATTTTATTGCTGTAAAATATCCATATTTTATGTTCATTGATTCTTACTCCGTATCATTTTCATTAAATTAATCACTTAAAATCAATATTGAACATGAAACCTAATTCTCAACTCCCGACTACTTGAATCTATCCTACTCGACTCAACTATTTCTCATATTAGATAGAAACAAAGGAAAATAAAAAAAAATTAATTTTAAGCATCTGTTCACTGTGATTGTTTTATTAAATCTGTTCATTTGTTCAATATTACATAAACTTCAAATGTGATATTCAATGTTTCAATAACAATGAAAATAATTTTTAACAGTATTTATTAATTTTGATAATTGAATAGACAAAGTCAAGATTGAAAGTGTACATTTACATAAAACTGTATGCAAATACACACATAAACATACACATAATCAAAGATTTTAACATGATCTCTTCATAATATTCTTCCTTACTTTACAGACTTTCAAAAATTTATAACTCACACAAAACTCCTTCTTAAATTATTCGCGAAAAAAAGAGGAAAACAGATCTGACAATGGATAAATAACTTTTAACAAAAGGCAGAAATAAACATTCTGTAAACTGAAATAAATGTTTTACATTACAATAATAATAATAATAAAATTTTGTATAGTCAAGTAAACAAAAATTGAATTTTTTAAAAAAAAAAATCAGCGAGATAGAAAGGTGTTAATTATTCATCAACTAAAACAATTTGTTTATTTTAAATGTTTATTCAATTGCTTCTCTTATAAGAGTTGAACAACAAAGAGTAAACAAATATTGTTTAGAAAATAAACAAAAAGGAAACACTGATAAATTTTGCATGTAACTTTATTTATGTCAATATGTTGTTCATATTTCATTGAACCAGTAAATATCCAAGAGAAAGACAAATTACATGCTGATTTATTTAAACAAAATCAAGAGTAGTCGATTAAAAGAAAAAAAAACAAATGACAACGACAAGAGAAGCAGGAAGTATAACAGAATTTATACGTTGTGATCAAGTGCACAATGTGTATTGATATTGAACCATTGAATCGAGAATAACTGGTCACATAAACACACACACGCATACACACAGAATATATTTAAAATTTACACATATAACCTATATGAATGCAATAAGGGAACATGTAAAATATATTATTGATTAACGTCAGTTTATTTTTGTACAATAAATATGCAATAGAATGAGTGAAAATTTCAAAATGAAAGACAAAGAAGCGATAATTGAAAATCTAATGTGTGAATCAAATGTTCGTGATTTGTTTCAAACATAATAGAAGTGTTTCTTTTTTTTCAATTAGCAGTTAATTATTGAAAGCACGGACAATTTACAAATAATTACGGTGAAGACTGACAACAATAAGGGAAGAGGAGGCAAAGTGATAATATTCCAAAATCAAATTTTGTTTTTAATGAAATGAATAAAATTATTGTTATTATTATCACTATTATTTTTATTATTGATATCATTAAGATTAAGAAATATTATCTAATCACAAACTCCAGGTGTTGTAAATTGACTTCCATTCTCAGTTCGATTGGATAATTGAAACCATGCTTCTATACGACGATATGGTGGCCTAAATACAGCTAACCATAATTCACGTCTTTCTGCTTTAGCACCTGCACCTAATGTCAAACCCCCGATGAAATCGTTACTTGGTCCACGATCGAAATCCCATACAGTTACTTCAAGTGTCCGGCTACCGGCTTCGGAAGCGTTTAAATCATAGAAAAATGTCTAAATAAAGAAGAAGTAAAATAGTTAAAACGGTATTGATTAGTTTAAGTTTATTTATTACAGTTATTTGAATTTTAATCATGGGAAATTTTCGTTCAAGTCATGAATGATTACACATGTTAGGCATTTCAGAATTGAGTCAACTAACATGTCTGACTTAATAGCTACATGTTTATCAACTGGAGTTCATAAGTTTAATACAAAACTGCTGTAAATAAACGGAAGAAAACTGATAATCTCTTTATGTAAAATACTTATTAGATTCAATAAAACGTTTCATTTAACAATTTTATTTCATAAAATATTTCACTTTTGATTTGATGTCTATACGACCATAGACGATATTGTTAAACCATTCAATATAGTATGATTTTTGGTATTATGCTTGTTTGTTATTTTTAAATTTTAAATACTTTGATTGATAAAGTAATTTTTCATTACGGGGTTGTGAAAATTAGTAAGTTACACATTTGAAATCATGAATCGATCATTGTTAGACCACCATTAGTGATTTCAAATATGTAACTTACTAGTCCTCACAATCCCGTAGTGGAATTGCCTGTGCTCACTAGTTACTAGGTCCGTGAGGAATCTTCTCCGAGTTCTAGTGGGAAGCCGTGACCAGTGAAGTTTAACCTGTTCGGGTGTAGGTAGTAACTACCGAAGACAGTGAATGAAGTTGTGCAAGACTGTGAATTGATCGAAATTAGACAATAACACCATTAGATACCGGCTCAGTGGTCCAGAGGTTAGGCGTTCGCGCGTAAGACAGAAGGTCCCGGGTTCGATTTCTGTGGGGTGCAGGAGTCCTGGACGCGCACTGCCGCTGAGTTCCATAACAGGACGAAACGGCTGTCCAGTGCTTCCTGGTTTCTAATGGTGACGTGACATTGATCGATTCATGATTTCAAAAGTAATTTTTAGCAAATGGTGAAACAGTAGCATGAACTTTATTGACATCAATTCTACATTCTATTCAATTTTAATCTGTTAACAACATTGATAGTATGTAGCAGTTTCTATTGTCCATACAGTTAACGACTGATTACATCTAACACCATTCATCCTTTTATAAAACAGTCCAAATTCAAATATGTTAATGTTTTAAAGTTACTGATTAGAATGATAAGTGATTTTTTAACTTTCAGTACTATTTATCTATCATTATTGAAATCTGGATGAAAAATGTGACTATACAGCTTTATGACATAGTTCATAAGAGGACAGTAACTAAATAGCAAATGAGATGAATGAACTCTTTCGAAACAATTCATACAATCATTAACCACATAGTCTCTCAAACTCATACTTCCATTCAATCGAATATAATTCAAAATATCACTAATGAACAGTGAAATATCTATTCACAGAAAGTAAATAATATTGTTTGTTGAATAAAAATGAATCGATTTATTTCGGACAGAGTTAATTGACTATCAATTCTAACACAAAACAACTATCAGCAAACACTGTAAAATGAAAACGTTTCATTCATTGTAAATTACTAACTAGAGATTATAATGTAACTTCACTGAAATGATATGAATCAGTATACAGATGGTTGCGATTTATTCTTTCTTTTCTAAAAAAAATCTGGTCACAATCAAATAATTTGTCAATTTTATTATTATACTATGACGTTCCTTTTTTATTAAACTAACAAATAAATCATTTCATATAATTTTCAATGTATTACTGATAATTACAATAAAAAAATTTACTTAGCTAACTATCTACCAACCTATTTCCAAACTCATTCCAATTTTCATCAAAATTACAGCTTTTATTTATTTTTATGCAGAAAGGAAGCAAAGCAAAAATCATAAAACTTAAAACATGCGCGTAAATAATAATAATAATAATCAGTTAAAACAATTAATTTGCCATATGTAGCTTAAGAGTATCGATTGAAATTACGAATTCACTCGCTCTGTTCGCCGCATATTGAAGTTTCATATAAGTGAGAGAGTTTGAAATAGAGTGAATGATTAAATAAAAAAAAATTGAATCTAATTGTTACTGTGTATATTTAATTTGAGTATTGATAAATATATGTAAATTTTCACAAATAACTCAATTAAAAATATACTGATGATCATTTTTTAAATGAATATTTTGAAAGATAATTAACTGAGAAACCATAAACTGTGAATTTAAAAATGTCAGCTTAAAAAATAGTTTTATGTTGACTGATCATTGATTAGTAGTGAATACACTTTTCAGTTCCTAATCAATCATGGTCAAGACTTACCAGTTCATTTAAATGATTAGGTATCATGATCAATGTGTTAGATGGTTGGATAAAGTGGAAGGTAAGCTGTAACTTTAGTGCTAGTTAACATTAAAGTATTGAGATAAATAGTATTCTCTGTAAGAATATTTAATCTGCAAAACGCTGTTTTATGTTCAAAAAATGTTACCACTTATCTATTCAAGCTGCTAGTGACGTTCATTGCTTCCTAGTTCTCTATAGTATTTCGAATGATATTGATCGGTTCAAAATTAACTATTACTATTTTGATAGAAGAAAATTTCTAAAAAATCTTACTCTATTAATTTTTCCCTAAATTTTACTTTCTACAGATGTTCTTCTCGTTTTCTTTTCTGATACTTAATTACAGATAAATAGATTAAGAGAAAGGGAAGGCTTAAGATTAAATGAAAATTAATCCTTATTATGTTTATTTATTCAACCGTTGACATGGTAACATGTGATGAGAAATTAAAATATAATTTATGATAATATATATAAGCTGTAATGACAATTCTCAAATTACATATCAATATCTACGTTTAGAGGCGTAGAATTAAGGTTTTGGTATGCGAAAATCAATCTATCATTTAAGATGTCCATAGGTTTAGGTAATTATCTATTTTCCATTAAGTTAATTGTTACATTAGATAGTAAATAGCTGTTGGCTGTCAAGTATACTTTGAGTTTGTAGCTAAGTGATTCATTCTACTATATTCTCATCTTTTATTTGGATTTAATAAAATATATATTTAATGTACATTGACTAATACATATCTTGGTGATTTAGATAACTAAAATTGTTAATATATTGTACTATTCAGAAATATATGTATTTTCCGTTTCTTAATTCTTAGAAACGATAAGATGCAGTTGTTAGATGAACTTTCTGTATAGGAGTCTCAGTAGAATGAAGTGGGTTACTTGGATTCCAACCCTAACCAGTACAATAAATTTGTAACTATAGGTAATAGTAAGCTGCCTAGATACAATATACCAACAGATCTGAATATTAAGAACTGTCGAGTAAGTTGATGGCAATCGTAACTCAATGGTCTAATAATATAACGATCTAATGTTTTGAGCTATCAGTACTCGATTTTGAAAAAATAGGAACTGAGATACAAGTACATTTAGTTAATGAGTTTCTTATCAGCTAATGTCTAAAAATACTGTTTTAATATTGATTGCTGTGTATTATTTAAACTCTGACAATCAATAAGTCTTACTAACTTTTCTGAAACTTATGAAATTCCTCTTGAAATAAAAACAAATGTTTAATAGTACTGTAATGAGAAAATAAGAGTGTTATGATAAGAGCTCATACACTACACTAAATAATCATCAGTTATTTTAGTTCAAATCAAATCAAATTATTCGTATTAATTTACTATGTATGACAATTATTTATTTCTTAAAAGACCAATGAAAACTAGAGAATATTGAAGAGTTCATCCTACTGTAAGATAATTTGATAACATACTGTATTAAAACATTTTCTGTGCAAAATTTTAAATAAATATGAGAATTTTCATTTTTGACTACTCACTCACCTCATGAAATTCTGGGAATAAAGTAGCTTTTTTAATTTGAGTTTTCTGTTTTGTTTTCTTAGTTTTATCTGGTCGAAGGTATCTGTGTTTGTAAAAGATAAAAATAAATGGCAAACAATGAGTACACTACACTTACTGAATCAATTTTGATTTAATGAATACTCAATGAAAAACTTATAAAGTAAACAATAATAACTGGCTGAAGTCACAATTATCAGCCAATGAAAGTTAAGCGCCTCTTGAGTGGACTGGCGATTCTGAATTTAATCAATATCAGGGAAGTAATTCCTCACTGCTGCGTAGTTCCGAATTAGGATGAATCATGTCTTGGTTTTTAATGATGACCTACCGAAAATAGGTTCTTGTAATTCCATTTAAGGTTTTAAGTCCAAATAGATTTGCAGTTTGAGAGTTTGAATCAAACAGTCAACAAATGTTGCTAAAATACAGTCTCATATTGTAAAACTGTGCTCCTGTAAGGCATCTATAGATCAATATGTTTAAGGTCAAATAACTTAGCAATCCATCTCAGATAGACTGTACAAACTATGTTATGGCTGGTTGAATGTAAATGTATGAAAATATTGTTTAAAAAATAAATACATTAAATATTGCTCAAATCATGTATCCTATTATTGAACAAGATATATTTAGCTGGATGCTAAATACGACAGATGTTTCTGACAGAAAGCAAAACATACGTTTTTATGCTCATTTTTTTCATTATATTTTTTTTATAGAAGTTTGTTTAAATAAAGCTGATAGTTAATACCAATCAATAAACTATCAATGTAAATACATCGAATTTCAAAGAAGTCAGTCATGTCTTGAATGGCTGTTGAATAGCAGGTTGACACAGATATGAATCACATCGAGAGGTAGACCACTAATTTCAATGTTTTTGACATCACCTTATGATAAATGTCAACTAGCTTTGAAAATAAAAATTTAGGATTTCATGAGAACTTATCAATCATGTCGTGTCAGACTCATTAAACCAAGCTAATGATCCTATTTGAAAAATAGAATTTTCTAGAAATTGAATTTCTCAGAAGTTATTACCACGTAAAGAGGAGGTGGTCACTTTTTAAACTTTTACAAACTTCCTGGCTTTTGAATCGTTTGAATGCAATGATTATATATTCTATATGCATCTGTGTACAATATTCAAATGTGATAAATGTCCCTTTGTGTTTATCATTGTTTTAATGGAGTATATATATAGACAAATACAACGCAGAACTTCGTGCATAAGTACATCAGTTCAGGTTGCCATGCCCCATCAGCACAGAGACGAAACTGTCAGTTCAAATCCAAGAGTGATAGCAATAATAGAAGTATTAGCAGTAATGGAGAAGATTAGGGTTCGAAGATATGATTCGAAAAGTATAATTCAGTGAGATAAATTTAGAAGGAGAAAGGTAGAGATTATGAGGAATGCAGAAGCTTAGAATTTCATAGAACACAAAGAGTGGATGCACCTGCGCCATTGCAAACGATTCTGAGCCATGTCTTATAAGGTCTCTAACCATCGGTGACTATCGTCTCACGGACCCCAACCAGGTAGCCTACATCTACCAACATGACTCAGTCCACTTGTCAGTGACTTCATGGATTTCTGCCATGTTTTGGTCTGGCCGCCCCTAGCTTTCTTTCAATCTACTCCTACACTACAAAACATATATATATATATATATATATATATATATATATATATATATATATATATATATATATATATATATATATGAGATAAATTATTTATTGATATACCAAGTATGCTTATTAATAATTTGGTAATATTTTTTTCATCTCAGCTGTATTTATGATTCATGAAAGAAAAAAAGCGGACTATGTTCTACAGTTAGTTGTATTATTGTGAATACTGTTCAATGTTTGTAACGTAACAAGTTAAATCTTCAACTTGATGATTGATACACATTATCTATGGAGAAGAATTGAAAGTGGCAAGCAAGTCAACAAAAACTCATCCGGTACACTTATTTCTATTTTCTTTCAACTTACAACTTATTTTTATTTTAAAAACTCTTTCAGTTTGTTTTCTCTTTTTTATAAAAAAAGATTTTTCGCTCAACAAAATGTTGAATTGAATATTGAACAAAAAAAATCATAACTAAATACTCTACTTTCCTACATTTTTTCTCTCTGTTTCACTAATATGGATTATTTTGAACTTTTAGTTTCTCGAAAATAAATTATTCTACGAGAATCAAAATTAATTATTCACGGAAATTTTTTCTCATCGTTTATCCTTATGATGAAAAAAAATGTAAAAAAAACTCATTCTTTCTCTCTGTTTCTATTTTTGTTTTACGTTATTATTAATCTACTTAAATAAACAGTTCGTTTGATTGTATTTCAGAAAGAAGGATTGAAAGAGAAACTTACTGTTTATAATGTAGTGCCAACAATAAGAAAGATTTCATTTTATTTTTTTTTAAAAAAAATCTTTGTTTTGTTATAATAATAAAATTATAGGTCAAATTTTGATGAATTCTTTGCTGTTCAATTTCAGATAAAGGAAATGGATTTTCAAATATGAACTAAATATTCAATTTATACAATTGTTTAAATGAAAGGCTATCGAAGATAGGAATTATTTGCATGCAATTAAAAAAAAAGAAAAGCGCAGAAAAGCTTTTCGGAAAGAATAACATTGAATTTAGCGATATATATATATATATATATATATATATATATATATATATATATATATATATATATATATATATATATATATATAGTTTTTATTTAAACTTGTGCTTTTTGCCGCGTTAGTAATTCCATTGTTAAAAAAATATTAGTGAACAAGATAGTTGCGTAGTATTAATTTAAAAGATACTCTTTTTTTCTAACTGGAGACTGATGTCAAATAAAGAACAATTGTAAAACTGAATAAAAAAAGGTAAGTGATTATGTTGTTCAAGTTGGAAACTGGTCATCAATGAATAAACACATATTCATACAAGTTGCAGATCACAAAATCCAACTACTATATAATCATATCAGAATTACCAACAAATAGACGAGTTGACTTCTCAGAATTTGTGAAGTAGTGACTAGTGAAGTCTACCAGTCTGAAATGATGTAGTTACTAACCAATGACATTGAATGATCTCCATAATATTCAACAAATGACTGAGATTATAAGTGATAATCCCAGGGGATTTAAACTCAGCAGGTGAATAACATCTAATTTACTACAAAAATCTGAAAAGCCTTGAATAATAATCAACCTTTTTAATCTAGAAATGGGAATAATGAAAATCCACAACTAAGTTGAGTAGCTGAGAGAAAGAGAGAGACCAATCTCAGGGTCAACAAACCAATCGTAATATTAATTACACATTTAAAATCATCAATAAATGATTGTTAGACCACCATTAGAAACCTGGAAGCACTGGACGGCCGTTTCGTCCTGGTATTGGACTCATCAGCAGTTCGCATCCACGACTCCTGCACCTCGCAGGACTCAAACCCGGGACCTTCGGTACTGTGCGCGAACGCCTAACCAGAAGACCACTGAGCCGGCATCCGACGGTGTTAATGCCTAACTCTGATTGATCTACGGATTTTGTGCGACCTCACCCATTTGTTTTTGGTAGTTACTGCCTACACCCGAAAGGGTGGTCTAACAATGATTGATTGATGATTTCAAATGTGTAAGAACACAAACGTCCAAAACTCTACCCGAAAATTTATGTTAATTATAGAAATACCCGAACTGCATCATATACATATGTTTCCGTTTTTGTATTTTTTTTGTATTAATTAATTTAATTACAGTTTTATTAATGATAAAAATAATACAAAGAAATGTAAATAAAACCAAAAATGGCATTAATATTTGAATAAGATCAATTTTGTTATAAGATCACTTTTACTCTTCTAAACATATTGATAATGTAGTTAGCATTCAGTCTACTCTGCTATTCTTTCTTTTCATTGTATAGTGTTCCTCATTTGTTCTGATTTATGATTATGTTTATTATTTCTGCATCCCTAGTCGGTCAGTCAGTCAGTTAGTCAGTTACAACGTAGAACTTCGTACGTACGTATATCAGTCCAAGCTGCCATACCACACTAGCGCAGATGCCTAAATGTCAAGTCGAATTCCATACAGGTAGAGGTAGTAGAAGTATGAGCAATATTCGGTAAGATTAGGGTTTGAAAATGCTATTCAGGTATTATAATCTAGTGAAATATATTTCAGAAGAGAAAAATGAAAGTAATGAGGAATTGACATTGGTATTTCAGAGAACTCAAAAAGTGGATGCGCCTGCGCCTCCGTGACCCTACATTTCCTAATTTTGTGTTCAGATCATTAGTCTCATCGTCTCGTTTAACGTTTGAATTTATTCAGATCAACACAATTTATTAGTCATTTCAACAATGAGCATTTCATTTTATCTTACAAACGATCCTAATTTCATTTGTAATAATTCTCAATGATGTATTTTATCTTTGACCTGGCCAATTTTTGAATGAATAATTTAGACATATAATCATAAAACTAGGGAGAAGTTAATTGAAAAGATAATCTTTCGTTCACTTATCAGTATTCTATTGATTGAGTTCTAGTATGATTAACATGTTAAACGTTAACTGACCACTAAGTACTGACTGATGTTCAGAGATTTCTAAACACTTTTGTTTTAACTACCTAGTACTAAATTTGGCGATGGAAATTTAAATTTCATTTAATAGAATTCAATCAAAATTATGCAAATGACAACATAACATTCATTAACATTTATTAATTAATCAGTATATTATTAATAACATGTTCAAAGTAACAGCTTACAATTTCACAAAAGGATCGGAAAATCCATTCAGATCCATTGGAGCTAGATTAGCACAACGAATTACTTCAACATATAATTGTTTACGATCTTCTAAATAGCCAAGACCTAATTGTATTTTACCACGTGTTGGACAAGCTAAATCGAATTCACCACGTTGTATCTAGAAAATAAGATAAAACTTTATTGTCATTGAGTTGATTCACTGTAATACATTTTTACTACCTCGTTCATTCATTATTTAAACAAAAACACGATATTGAACAGAAAGCATTTTGTTTGAATTTCATAATTGTTCAGCTACATCATTATTGAGTATTTGGTACGTGTGATATTTAGAAGTTAATTATTTAGCGTTCAAATCACACAGTCAATCATTCTATTATTGAAACTACTTAGGTTTAATGTAATTTTTGAAACATTAAGGAAATTCACTTTGCCTGATAGTAATCTTGTCTTAGTTATTTACGGTGTTAATATATTGTGTTTTTGATCAGTTAGTATCCTGATATATATGGAAAACAAAACGAATCGATAATCAGTGATCAACTATTGTACAAACAACTAACTACTCTGTATTATGTGTTGAAACTACTGAAAATCACTGATGATACGTCAGTAGTATATGAACTTTAAGGGTCTTTAGTCAATACCATAAAACTTTCTAAATGGTGCTTTCAGACAATAAAAAAAGTATTTGAGGATTATTGCTATTATTGACATTTAACACAAAGCTATCTTAATACTGCAATATTATCACCTTGAAATATTTCAGATACTGCTAAAGTTTATCTCGAAGCGTGTTTTGTAAAATTTACTCTACTGAGAATGATCTTCACTACGAACGAATTTCAAATAGTCAACCATAGGGAATTATTGAACATCTGAAATATATTTAAATATTTGCATGAAACTATTTAACTTAAGAACAATAATCGTAAGTTTTCTTACTAATGAATAGTTTCAAGCTGATTTTTTAAAAATTAAAGTAGGAAGATGTTGGACGTCAATACTCAAGGAAGTCGGAGATGCACTATGTACGCATCGATTATCTTAGTCTGAGGATTGCGCCATATAACAAAACCATTGGTTTGAATTTAATGTAGTATCAGTGGAGCTTAAAAGTTTCTTGTTTGGTTTGTTGTTTAGAGTAGCAAAGGTACTTTGTTAAAAGTCTCATATTTAAATGAAGCGAGTATTTAATTGCTGCTTAGTTTCCCATGATTCTAATCATAAAGACTATTAGTTCGAGTCCAAGAATTTTAATTCATACTTTAAACGAAACCATTAAGTACCACTTATTTGTATAAGACTAAGCGTATGCTGATACTGCCTTCTATGTTTAATGTAGGTTGACTGTTGCTTCCTCACTTCTATGAACTTGGTTGATAAAGTCAGTATTAAGTGTGACGTAACGGAAATAATGGCTAAACATACAACAGTTAGTCAGTGATTAAGTTCAATTTCATGGATGATTTAAAGCTTATTCAGTAGTATGTTATTTAATTTCAAAGTTTAACAACTAGTTATCTTGGTGTATTATATGTCTAATCGGAATCTATTTGTAAACAGACAACAAAGTACAATCTGTAAAAATGTGTTTGCTATTCGTTACAACTGATTTTTATCATAAATTCCTTGAAAAGCTGTCTATCTATCAGAACCTAAATATGCTGTGGTCTAAATGTCGACCCATGCAGCGTCAATACTTTTTTAAAATTATATCTCTGATAAAATAGTGTAAGTTTCACTAATAATATAATGCAAACAAGTGGAAGCTTCTTAAAATTAATAAATAATTTCACTTGATATTTATGATGACTATTATTAAGAATACAAATGATAAAATTACCGGCTTATGTGGACCAAGTGGAACAGCGAAATCAGTTAAACGGTTGGGAATTAGCTGAGATAATTGTAATCGATATTCTCCAAGCCAGTCAGAACCATACAAATCTTCATCAAGTACAGCTAATCTACAGGAAAAAAAAGAATTTAACGATAAAAGCAAAATATTTTTAGTGTTAAGATAATCCAACTTGTTCAATGTTCAATAAACGTGCATTTATGTACATTTATCTGTTTATTTAGTGAGTGATTATTGCACATGAAAGCATAATCTTGATTTCAGTCATTTAAGGCTATCAACATATTTTTTCTGTAAATATTTCACCTCAACGTGTTGAATGAAAAAGTCAAAAAAAATAGAAGTTGGAATTAGAAATCAAATTCTCAGTGTCAGTTATACTTTTCTAAGCAATGCTCACTTACTACATGAATTAGTTATTGAATGAACAATTAAGATTGAACTTACAACGTATATGGAAAGCTTCAAATTCAACACAACTGTAGTTGAATAATAGATGCACTTATTGATTAGTAGATTGCATGCTATTTCATTTTCATAGCCTTTAGTTTTCATCAAGTTATGTCAATAGATGTTTTGATGGCATTATGTAACAGGTGGCGGTCGGCATTCAGTATATTCCTAAACTTCGCATAATGCTCGTCTTGTTAAACGTTACCACATAATTTCCAACGATGTTTAAATCAAGAAACGAATACGAAGCGTTGATGATACAAAACCACAGATATACAAAGCGAAAGCGGAAATTATAAGCCAGTGCCGAAGAGTAAGTGAGGTAGCTAGTGAGTGAGCGAATAGGATTAGAAATGTACACGTATATACATGGGAAAATGGGTCATCGAATTATTGAAGCGGTTAACATTAAAGTGAGTAGGATGAATATGAGCGTAAATGGTAAGCAATGCTCAAGCATATATACTCATACAATAATAAAAGTACAATGATACAGATAAGTTCCACTGCGCGACGCTGTCTGTCAAATAAGTTAATAAAAAGGGATTCATTAAAATAAACTTAAACAAACTCTAATGTACATGAGTTGCCATCAACCAATTTTGATGGGATTAGAAACACCTTTGATTTTAGTTTATGTAAAGTTTGATTCAGTGAAACATGAAGGTCACTAACTTAGGATCTTTAGAAGGCATTAAGTGGAAATATTCAAAAAGTCTGAAATTACAACAGAACCAGTTGTCAAACGAGTATCAACCATCGAAATCTTTTAGTTTATATTAGTGAAATTTATTTTGACTAAACAAGTTAAACAAAACAAATAATCATACATGACATTGAACATTTATCATTTATTATTCATAATTTTGATTATAGTCAATGACAAATTTGTCAGCTTATAAGCGTATTATTTTTAATAAATATAGATTGATTGATATTTGTCCACTGTATTCTATACCATTAGATTACCCACCCAAAAAAAAGTAACAAACAATTATTAGATCAATCTTCATGTTTTATTTTCCGATATAAATAATTTAACATGATCAACCTGTATATAAATGATATGTTAAACATCTTTATCAAGTTGTTTATTTTAGAAAACTCTGTCAGCATAATTATGATTATTATTTAAGATTTATGATATACTTCTATTTTTATTCATTATAGAGTTATAGAAATTGTTGTTTTCAAGTGAAATCATGAATCAACCATTGTTAGACCACTATTAGAAACCTAGAAGCACTGGAAATTCGTTTCATCCTACTATGGGATTCTTCACAAGTGTGCATTATTAATTTGAAATCATTATAATTGTCTGCAACCATAATGAACTTAAAATTTAATTTGTGATAGTTACACTTATCATACAGGTGAAGAGATTTTTAAAAAATTTAATTAGTACAGTTCTGAGTATTTTAAAACTAACTTTATGGATTTTAAGTTCAATGAATGGAGTTATGATATAAGCAACTGTAGAAAAAAACGGTAATTAAATTCTTATAAATATATGTGCACTTTATGGATGATGAACATTACAGGTTAGAATCAAAATTATCATGTGCTCAGGAGTGAGTAGCTTCGTGCGAAACCTCTTAGCATACCGGTGCGAAGCCGTAATCAGTGGAGTTCAGCTCTGTCCGGTGTTAGGAAGTTACTCACTGAAGACAATGAGTGAAGTCGCTCAATACCATAGACTGATTTAAGTTAGGTATTAACATCAGTGGTGACTGAATCTAGAGATTAAGCTTTCGCACGTGAGATTGAAGGTCCTGGGTTCGATTCCCGCGTGCGGAAGTTGTGGATGTGCACTACTGGTGAGCCCCTTACTAGGATGAAATGGCCGTCTCACGCTCCCACGTTCTTAATAATGGTCTAACAATGATCGGTCCATGATTTTGATAAAATCGAACAAGCTCGACAACCCCATAATGAAAATTAAATCCTAATTCTGGAAAATTTTATTATTTACTGCGATCTTTAACCCACTGTAATCGTTCGAATTTACAGTCTCTTCGTGTGTTTTTTTAAATAAAACTAAAAACTGTTTTGAACAGTTAGGTTTTATTTTTGTTTTGTAATGAGACATATTGTACAGAATTATACTTGACATTCAAGTAAAAGGCTATGATAAATAAGTGCTTTTATTTCAGTGCGAGAAAAGAATATTCTTTTAAAATGACAGTTCAGTTCAATGCATCCTATCGACAAAAATGTACTTAAAAGTTGTTCTTAATTTGAGATAACATTGGAATAGGTTACTATTCACACACACACACGCACATAATATATACAGTTGTAAAACTTTACATAGCTGACTGTTAAAAAAAGGCTTTTAGTCTTATATACCTAAAAACAACTTAGTCTTTATATAATTAAGGAAAGAGAATTATAAAAGTGAAGAAAAAGTATGTAATCCTTGATTATTTATTTAAAAATAGGCACAGAAAACCACAGTATATTAGGTTGTATTATTCAAATAATTGACCTTAAACAAAATACAAGCGGATTATAGTTATAGTTCAAGGAGTCATGAATAACAATATATATATATATATATATATATATATATATATATATATACATATGCTCTGAACATAATATATGACGATAGGTATTTATAATTCAGTGATACAAAAAACTTGATTTGACGATCGTTTTTTGTTAAATATTCAATAGTTAGGCGTTCATAAACTAAAATTTTGTTTAAACTATAATACGGTAACACTACTTTCATAGGTTATTTTAAAAGGACACGGATGTTTTTGTGCACAATTTAGCGATACCTCACTGTTGATGAGTTTTTAGTAGAAAGTTAGTCACTTGATAATACTTTGGGCGATAAACCTCTTCTATCAAGATATTACATTTTAATCAAGGCCGACATTCTTTTAACATGGAGTAATTAAATTCTAAGTATTTAAATGAGTGACTGGTAATGCTGTGATAAAATGCATTTTGTACAACTGTAACACAGATAGAATTTGGAAAATAAATCAAATAATAGACTACAGCTGAAACAATTTATTCTGAATGGCGCAAATCATTTTTTTTTTAAAAACTACAAAATTTTTATTCAAAGGATTACAAAACTGATGGTTTCCCAGATTGATAAGACAGTTAATACCCTTCTTCAAGGGGTATTCAGTCTTTAAGTATAAATAAAGTTCACTTAAAAAACAATATTCATCAATATCAATCATGCAACCGAAATCAACAATAAAACACAAATCAAATAACAATCTTACCTTAATGTTTTTAACTGAATATTTTTTCCATCGAATGGTTCAAAAGTGAGAGCTTCATTCCAAACAGGATTTAAACATTGTGGTCGTGTTGATGTACGTGGTGTTGTACTATTATGACTTGTCGGTAATAATTGACATACAACATAAGGATCTGATAGACCATTTGCATCCATTGCAATTAAATTCTAAAATAGATAAATTCAATATTTGCCATGATCTATTGACAACTGAAATCGATATAGTTACAGTGTTTCTACTGAACAATCTTTCCCAAGCTTCTTCAATGAATGAATTAAGATCAAAATTATCATGTTTAAATGAAGGAAGTCAAAATCCTTTTTCTTGCACAACAAACGATCGTTTAGTCATGTCCACGTATTAAATGATGTTTTCTCAGGGTGGATATATTTATCGTTTATGAAGTAGCCTCATCGAAATCGGCTAGCTAATGACATGTATTAATGTATGTATGTTGTTTCTAAACATTTGTGTAGATAAAACTATCATAGTTAGTCAGTCAGTCAGTTACAACGTCGAACTTCGTATGTATGTACATCAATTCAGGTTACCATACCGCATTTGCACGGAGACGCCACTCTTAAATTCCATAGTGTTGGAGACAGTAGAAGAATTAGCGGTAATGGAGAAAACTATCCTAAGTTCTGTTAAAATATCCACTGGATGAAATAACAACAATATTGATATTGTCAATAATGTTGGTTAGAAGTAGTAAGAATACGAATCTAATTATCGGTATTACTTAAACAGTTAAATATCTATTGTTGTTGAGAGTAGCTATATTTGAGCAGGAACTAATTATTTGATATAACGGCAGTTATTTTATTTATTTAATAATCAATAAGTTACAATCATTGTCAATTCATCCTAACTACGCATATTATTTGCTCAACATTTTTTTGAAGTTTCTATGGTTAGCTTTTCTTTATTTGACTGTCAGCTTTTCCGATTTATAAAAGGGTCAATTTTGTTTCTTGTTTGCAATCAATATAATGTTATTGCTGTTCTAATATGCAACGTTCTGTGGTCTTTTAAAATCTTTGGAATCTTTTAAACATTGTTTGTTTCAACTCATCTTTACATTCAGTGATCTTGGTGTCTTCAGTACGTATCGATATATTAATGCAACTAGAACAGTTAACTTAGTAAATGCAGTTTTGGTGTTTCTCATACGGTCTCTTTTATTTAGTAATCAACACGTCGTAGGCCGTCTTGCTAGTAGGATAAGATATAAATTCATATTCAACTTCTCAAACATAAATAATAATAAATTTTTAGAGATACTGTTAGTCAAGGAAGCTCTGCCAATAAAATCAGTTTCACAAACTTTGTATAAATATGCCAATTTATCATTTATTTACATAGTTTAAACCATTGACTAAAGTGATCGATAGCTGTTCTGATCTAGTTTGAGATACAAACTTACATATCTACAATCGCACCATATAGAGCTGAGCTTAAAAACCTTCAGTCTCATACAATTGTTCATAGCTTTCAAGTTTTTGATGATTATACAGATTGGGTCAGTTCGTGATTTAAACTAGGAAAATTCTATAATTTCCACAAAACTTGTAACTGATATGACTTATTTTTTAAATTTCAAATGAATATGTTTATCATTTATATATGTTTTATTTAGTTTAAATGTGAAAGTAATTGACCTTCCATTGAAAAGAAATTTAGTAAGCAAGACAGAAAGAGTCACGTAGTTAAAATCTATCACTACTTATTCGTTCAAAATCTATGTTAACCGATTTCACTGAAAAAAGGAAATTATATCTATAAGAAATCTCTGCATTAAAAATTCATAACTCCAGCATTTCTGCTTCCTGCCAACCTGGTTCCAGTTTTTTTCGGCGAAATAATAAAAATTGTAATAATTTAAATAAATTCGATAGAGTACAATTGTTTGTAGCATGATTGTTGATAATCAATGAAAATATTATCTCCAACTTCCGTCTACATTTGTACAACTAGTAACACAAACAATAACAGAAACAATGTTCTTATGTATGAATTTGTTTCTAGTCACTTTTTATCAATTTCATAACATGTAATCCTACAATTTACTATCAACACGTGCATTAAAAAGTGTAATTTACTGTTGGGGACTTTAGATTCCCAGAACTCACTTGGAAATGTCATAATTTTGTAATTTTAATCTGAAATTTTGAAGTTACATGTTCTCGCACCAGAGACGCTTAGTTGACCTTCAGCTTACATTCCCCTCAAGGAAAATCCTTGATTATCATTGTTAGGTGGATTATTTTAGTATGCTATTTTGTGGCCCTCACAAGGGATTTGTGTGTTTGTCCACCTACTGTTTTATGGATGGTTGTAGAATACACGTTCTACACCTTATTAAGACTTCTTGATCTAGTTAGCCGGGCCTGGGACAAAAGGATGAGTATAGCCTATCGTGTCAGTGAGTCATTGCTTTCGTTCCGTTTACCGAGTAAAATGAACTCGTAATAGCATTCAAGCATATCAGTTGGCAAATATATCACTTACTCATGTAACTATCCTATTATATAATGAATAACATATATGAACACAACTTTAGATAACACAACATGGAGATATTTATCATCTAATGACTCAAATCTCCATTTGAAAGTGACTGGATAGAACAAAATATCTTTTGACTGTGTTTATCTTTAATGACTTACGTTTTCATATATTTTTTAAACACAAACTGATGTTAGTTCGACCACCAATGAAAACCTAGGAGCATTGGACTGCTGTTTCGTCCCATTACGTGACTTGTCAGCAGTGCGTATCCACTACTTTCAGGTTTTTAGTGATACTCTAACTAAGATCAAACTGTAATCTAAAATCTCTTATCTTGATTATTTCTTTATGATATTGTGTTTAGTGATAATTATTCAGTTAATAAAATTCAGTAAATAATAAGTACTAAATTGATTTGTATCTGGACTAAATTGGACGTAAATTAACTCTACCAGGGCCTGAATTCACAAAGCTTCTATACAAGCTTAACTTCCAGATATAGTTAAAGAATAGTGAAGAATGAATTATGCTCATTATTTTGAGGTTGAAGTCAAGTAGGAAGAGCCTAATGCATGTAGAAGTTATTTAATTTCAGTCGATGAGATTTTACAGAAAAAATAACCACTTGTTTAACTGTATCTACATACTCAATGACTGACTACTGCAAAACTATCTTTTTTTCCTAATTGTATCGAAAGTCCTCATGAAATTTATAAAAGATTTTATTAGAAAATCAATTAACGACCTACCATATTGCAGATTCATAAAATATACATGAAATTTATTCATGAAAAACAACTTACTTTAGCTTTGTGAATTGCTACATGAAGTTGCTTATTCAATGTATCATGATACAGAGTGAAGTAGAGTACACCAAACGGAGCTAATGGTAAATGGTAATAGTAAAGATAAAGACCAGAAAAAAAACGTTATTTAATTCTATTTGAAAAATTTGAGAATTACGCTAACTTTATGGACAACCCACTTGGTATGTGTTTAAAAAGGAAAAACTTTTTTATACCTCTGGTTTCATTATTTAATTTTGAATTAGGTAAGACAAACGATGATTTATTGGATCAGATGTATTCAGACTGTTGGGGTCCCACAAAGAGTATCAGTTCCTTCCTAGATAACAAGTATGCCTTACTAATGAGTGCCAAATAATATAAAACTTAAGCCTAGAGTATCCTGTTAACTACCTTCAAGTACCTAATATCTAGACACAATGCGGGTGATATCGAATTACTTAGACTAGTGGACACATAGCAACGTAATCGACAGAATTCCATCGACAATAAGAGGAACCTGACACAAATGATATTGGTTATAATACTCAATGAGAAATAAATTGTAATTATTATGCGATGTCATTTGTTTCTTATCAGTGATGCAATGATTAAACTCTTAATAAACAGTTATATTGAGAAAAATGAAGGAACTGAACACCCAAGTTAATGAATAAATTATCAAATATCTGATAATTACAATTTGGAAAACATTAATTTCCTTCAAACTTTTTAATTATTGTTATTATCATTATTACTATCATTTTATTTATGAACTCACTTCTCTTACTTGATGCAGATAGATTTTCACACATAAGTAAACACCCTACTAAGTCATATAGTTTAGTGTTAGTTACTCGTTTGATTCATTGCCTGCTTAATCCTAAACTTTTGTGTTAATTTTGTTAACTACATTATGTCAATCATTTATTTCAGTAAAGTTGAATAAGGGCTAGCAGTGGTATTCAGGACTCAAATTCCATCTAATTTGGGATATGTTTAGCTGGATTTATTTATTTCTTAATGTTCATGTTCATAATAAGAGTGGAAGTCGATGCTCTTGATTTCAAATGTTCTAAGCATTCCCTACTGAACTACTAAGTTCAAATGGCTACTACTTGTGCATCGTGGGAGTAATTTTGTTATTAAATGATTGTATCTTTCTGTGGAAATAAAAGACTTTAATTCACTGATCACTTTAATGAAATTTTGCAACAATACATACTTAGGAAGTATACTAAGAATGCACATATCTCAAAAAGGACTGACTAATTACATTCCTTACTGTCGACTGGATGATGCTCTCAGAAATCAATAATTTCGTAACAAATTGATGTACCTGATGAGAAGCTTTGAAATAAAGTCATCTTATTGACGTACATTCTTCTTATCAATGTCTGATAGAATTAACTAGACACTTGTAGTATCCAAGTTTTTTTCATAGACCTGAGGCTTAGTTTCAGAATTGAAAATAAAAATACATTTTAGTTAAATTTTATCTCTACAAATGATTTAATTTTTTTAAATATCTAAGAAAATTCGAGTTTGTATAATTACCTTCTTCATTTGAAGCTATAGTTGGACGTGGTACTACAGACGTAGAACTTGATGAAGATGCCAACAGACTGGATGGTTCTTTTTCACCTGTTAAACTTACAACCTTCTGTGTAGAATTGGTATTTGTAAATGAAGAAGCTAAGGCAGACGCTGTCGAATGATTAACACTTTTATTCGGTAAAAATGATGGATGAAATGACTGCACTGAACTAGGTGACTGTGGTTTCCGTAATGGATTAGTATTTAGCGAATCAGGCAAAAGACACGATGCCGGTGAGATATGAGTTATGTCTTGATGAGTCGGAGTTGCAGGAACATTTGCGTATGCTGTTGGATTCGGCTTGGGTACATCACCAAAACTCTGATCTGTTGGAGTATAGGCAGAATGTTCTGGAGATTTCAGGAATTCCTTGGATGTTGCACGTGTTTTTGTGCTTGATATAACTAATAACAGATAAAAACAACATTTATATTCATTGATTTTGAATCAGTGACAAAACTGAGTTACAAAATATGCTGAATATATGAATTCAGATGTGAATGAACATACGTTTGTGACATTGAGGTGAGCTGAATTACTTACAAGCTAAATTTTTGACAGCTGTGAAAATTTCTATCTATCTGTAAAACCAAAGTAAATAAACATAGAGAATAAAACCGGCCAACTAATTAAACCTGTAAAACTAAATAAAACTATAAAGGACGTTCTAACTACTGACTGATTCACACAAATATGACTTTTCGTAAGTCGACTGGACGGTTTTTTTAACTCGTTGGAATAAAACTCACCACCTGTGTACTTGAAGCCCATTCATTTAGCAGGACACATTCAACAATTTCCCATCAACGAATACTTTTTCAAAGCTTGTAACTAAAATCAGTTATACCCAGTTTGTATTCAAAGTTGATTTGTGATTAGATAGCAACCAATATCATGTGTGATCAATGCTCTCGTTACTGACAGAATGCTACTAATCAAGTTGTGAACAGCCTAAGTGACTTTCGACTTTGCTGATGCTTTAGGTGGCTGAAGTTTTCCGACATAAAACTGTGGAACTAGGTTTCATGTTAGTGATCACTCAGTCAAAAAGATCTAAGCTCTACATTAGGTTATTCACAAATCATATAGCTGTGTGGTAGTTTGTTAGACTCTGAAGCTGGGTAATAACTGTTTGAAATCTATAAGGGACACCATTCTTCTCAACACTACAGGTATGTCTTAGTGATTAATTTTAACTAGCCCAAAGCCTATGTCTTAGGTTTCCTGTCAGCTGTTTTAAACATGTTATAAGTCAGTTTATATGAATTGAATTTGTTATCCTATGTTTAAATGTTCCAATTGTCCACGTGATTAACTAGAGAATCAAAATACTTATTACTACTTCCGGTCACATAAATATCACTCAAAGTAAAATATTTAATAATAATCTAATGAACTGAATTTATTATTGGTTGTTGAATTTAATCTCTTTATTTAAATTTACTTTTTTAAAAGGGTTCATTGTTGAAAAGAAATAAAATTGTGTCATTTTAGTGTGCTATTTTTGTGACTGCCCCAAGGACGTCTCTATAGGGTATATATAAATAAACGCAATTTGAGTGCTTGGATTTATTGTGTGCTGGCTTGGTGTTGTAGAATACACTTTCTACACTATATCAAGACTTCTTACTGATTCCATTTGGTCAAGGGCACAGTAGCCTACCTGGACGCTGGTTCATTGTTTGTTCTCGTGAACTCGTAATAGTTTTAAGCCTACGTAGAGACGAGCATAACAAAAAGTCGATTATTTTTCTCTGATTTTATTGTATAATGACTTCTCTTGCAGTTTATATGACTAACTGATCCTAGCTAGACCACTAATTTCGTCTCTGAAAATAGTATTTTAGGGAAATTAATTGATTCCTTTCCTATAAATGAACAAGCTGATCATTTGGAACATCCCAGTTTAATTGAAGTATTCCTCTACAAATAAATAACTTAAGATTTGTAAATTTAATACAAATGTTAACTGGTGTACACGCTTAACCAGTTTTTTCGACTATGGATTACAGAATAGTTGTTTAGTCAAAACTCTTACTATAATAATGGTTGGGACAACTCAGGTTAGTTAGCATATTAATATTATACATGATTCCTTACTTTAAAAGAATAACCTCAATGACATTTTCCTGAATGGTTGTTATCATCTTTAGTTTGCTGTATTAGAAGGCCTCACAGTCACTGTATATTTCTGTAAAAACAGTAGATTCTTTTTCATTTTTGACATCTGCAGAAAATACGAGGTCCTATTTTCCCTATTGGAGAGTTAATTAACTTTCAAGTGTTGCTGCATGACAGTTAAGGTTTATCAGATGGTAAATATTGTCTAATTAAATATTATTGGGTTCGAAATAGTTGTGTTACACTTTAATGTTTACGATAATATCGATAATATACCGGTAATTTCGGAAACTTCCAGTTATTTCAAGTTGGTGAGTCTCTCATTATGAATACTCGTTGTTGAGAAACAATTTCGAAGTAGGAGTAATGTTTGGTTAAGGAATAAAATTCGAAATAAAATAAGTACATAGATTCGACTGACCTATTATTGTAATTATTGATTTCGTTGTTCTGTGCTTTCTGTTTACATTTTATTTCCTCTAGTTATGAATGATTTTCACTAATCCACTATGCTACTAGAAACGATAACTAATACATTGATTGTCCTTACAACAACCAGATGTTTAGTTATAAAGTACTGATATTTCCCTAATTGACGCCTTGTATTATTGTATTATGTGTGAAAAATTTACTACCTAGACTATTTACGAATTAGAACACTTCAAACATATCTATCCTTCTAGATTAAAGGTTCCTATCTCCATCAAGGTGATCATGCGTGTTAACCAGCATGAATTCTGTAATTATTATTTTCAGCATATATAATAATAATTATTATTATCTGATTAGTAAGTTGCATAGAGATTATCACTTCTAGATGTTACGAAAGCTACTTGTTAAAAGAAAAATCTAACTATTCGTTTCTGTGTACACTGAAATACAATGAAATAAATAAAAATTTTCTGTTCGACTTAATAACTAGAAACAGAATGCTGATTTATTGTATAGTTGAATCTTTGCTTTTTGATCGAATAACTCCATAAGTTGAACAATTCTAATCGATTCAGGATCTATTGACTTTTCCTGACTACACTAGATTAAATTACTTTATTTCGTTTGAGATTATAACGATTCATGAAATGTTGTGATATGAACAATTTATGTGAACTGTCAAGTATGATTGATTGATTGGTTTACCAGTCTTCAGTTTGATATACATCAGGGAATCACAGTCGTACTAACCGATGATTGTTTCATGAACATCATTTTATTCAATTAAATTAATACATTTACCAATTATATGGTTTATGCGACTTTCTCCTTACTATTATATCAGTCACTTTATAAAACACTCAACTAATCAAAGGTGATTTATCCATTATATTTCAAATCATTCATTCATTTGTTCGGTCATGATTATATCGCAACTATCTCATTGCATTCTACTAATCTATATATATATATATATATATATATATATATATATATATATATATATATATATATATATATTAATCTCCTTTCTCTGTCTGTAATTTGAACGATGAGACTTCATGTCGATCATTATTTTTTATTTTAAAATAAGTTTCATAACATAGAATAAGTTTCATAACATGTAAAATTAACAACAAACTACTCCAAGTAGTTTAGTTTTTAGTCCAAAAAAGTAGAGATATTATTTTATTTTTCATTTTCAATTAAACTATTACCTCAAAGAAAAAGACTTCAATTTGTTCGCAAACAACCAGTATAGTTACGCATTTTATAGTGCTATTCAAATCAGAAGACTAAAATTCAGTTCATGTAAGATTATGATATCAAATATAATAATCTTTATTCTAAATATTGACATTTGAATCTAGTTGGATATTAGCTTTGGGAAAAATAATATGACAAACTTAACCTATCTACATTGTATACAAGATGGCTTAAACGCTTTACTTTATTAATCCTGTGAAATTGTAATCAAAAACAATAAATATTCAGCGATAATCCTGAGAAAAAAAAATTGATTCATTGTTCAATCAATCAAAACTGTTAAGCTCACCTTCATTATGGGATGTATCCTTGCTTGTACTTGGTACAGGTGAGCTATCAGCTTCTGATCCTTCAGGTTTAGAAGGTCGTCCTTGAAAGTAAATTATAAAATAAGTTTATTTAAATTTTAATTTTTAATCATTTGATTATTTTTGAATCAATATATTTTCAAGTAATAATACTCTTTAATTGATGATTTCATACATAAACATAGGGCTGATTTTGTTCCAGATTTGGGACGATCAAACTATCGTAGTAATAATGGGTTAAAATGTTGCTTAAAATCTGGTTTCTTACATTTGTTTTTGAATAATTAATTTGTTCAAACATTGCCCCAGTTGTTAAATTAATTTTACGCATTAATTTTTGTTTAAATTCAGTAATTTCTATATCAACTATTATTAATAACATCTCTCTATCTCAATAAGAAGAATTTACTTAGCTAATTGACTAATCTCAAGTTTTGAAACTGTGAAGCCAGATAACACAAATTCGAATCACACAAGAAACATAAATTCTTTCAGGATTTCAGGTTTTCTTTTCCGAAAGAATATCAACTAACTTAAAATCCTGGTCAGGTATTGTTTAAAGCCTTAAAGTCCTTAACCTACCTAAAATTTTCAAATCAAATAACTTCTAATAACATATCCACACATTATTACTTAGCTAACGGAATAGCTAATAGCAATTGGCTTTAGGAAATGTGTTCATACACAAAACGTTTATGCAAGAAAACTTGGAGTATTATTTTCATAATATGAGCTTAATAAACGTGTAATGAAGCTTATGCATCTGAATGATTTGTGGTTAGTCAAATGAAGATGATGATTATTAGTTTAGATAATTTTAGTTATTAGTGAAAAATTTTTTATTGCGACGAACATATCATTAATAATAATAATGGGAGAATACTGAAAAGATACTCTGAAATGAGTTTAAAATCTTCAGCGTTATTAATCTCAAAGATATTCAAGAATAATGACATGATGTATTCGGGTTTTATAGAGAATCTAACGAACACTTTCGTCTTTACATCCATAGATACGTTTATACTAAACAGATTCGGACTTAATGTTAGCGTTTCATTTATAATAGATAATGACCAAGACTGAATACTTATATTCTGTAGACATTTTTCAATTTGAAATGTATCATTCAACAGTGAAGATAGTTCAGAATGAACAGTTGGGTTCTCTATATTCACCATTTTATGAACAGAGTCAAACCTCATCCTTCCAATCGATGTTATAAACCACCAAAATCCTTATGAGGCTTTTTGTATTCAAAAGAGTTATTGAAAATTCCAACAAAAATCAAGTGATCAACATGTTTACTTGTTGATAATTAGAGAATATCACATTTACTCGGCTTTAAAGGATGCCGTAACTATCAAGCTCTTTTAGCTTGACTTTTGAGTACACGAAGAAAGTGTGATAAATTTTGCGTTGCCTTGGTAAGTTGGCAAGATATTATCATAAATTTTGTTCAATACATTATCTTTTATTGCACTCACGCAATAACTTAAATTTTTATGTTAAAATAGGTGCCTTGATTATCACTTATTCTGTTAACAATTTGTTATTATTCATTGTTACTTTATAGTCACTAAAAAATTCAAATTTTTCTCTTTAGTTTTCTGATTTCATTTTCAACAATATCAATTCAAATCAATGTTAATTATCATGTTCAGTATTTTGTATGCTCTTCTTGCTTTTCATGTCTAAACTTCAATGAATACGATATGTCTAACTTGTCCCAATGAAACTACTAATGTAAATCTAGGCCATGAGAAGCTGATGAAAAGGCTTTAAAATCAAATAAATTCATGTTATACTACAAATCCTTTTGTTCGTGAGATTGATTTAATTGCCTTGTCATCACATTCAACATTTTCTAAACAAGGTACAAACTTTGTTTTCATTTTATCAGAGAAGTAGATTGTTGGAAAAATTTTAAACTACCGATAATGGTAGCATTTTTAATCTCTTAATGCAGAAGATAGCTTAGTTCTTGTAAGATTGAATTATTATCCCATACTAAAATAGGATAGGTTGATCAGAATCATTCAACATTCATGTATGTTTTCTGTATAGCATCCTTTTATGATTGAAACAGATAATCCAAGATAATCAATGAGTAAGTCATTAGCCCACACTGTTCGATATTAAAAGATCAAAATGAGCTGACTAACTGAATGAAATTGATTATACTGCACGATCATAAAAGTGACTTTCAATGGGTGTTACTGAAAATGTATTAGATAATTAATAAATAGAGAAAAAACTTGTCGAAATTCAATTAATTAATGTCAACTTTCATTTTGCTCTATGGTTCAAAGATAGCCATTTGGTTATAGAAGTTTTAGGATACAACAGATTGTTTATTCTTTATGAAATGTTGTCAATGTGTATTGTTGTTATCAGGAAAAATGTCATTTAGAATATGATTAGTTTGTTCCCATCAGCTTTTAGGATATGGGCCAATTATTTGTAAGTCGAAAAATCGCAACATTGATCGGTCAATGTGTAGTAACGATCACCGTGATTTCTAGTTGTTAATGCTGACCGTACACTTCCTGGTATGCCGGCAACTTCATTCCTCCCTACATTGTAACAATACTGATTCAATTATTCTAGTGATAGTGTATTGAGCTTATTTGTTGAACAACATGATATTGTTTACTTATCACTGATTAACTAACCTAAAGTTAAGTTTGAGCATACGAAAACCATTCTGTTTTATGCAGTTATACAATGGGGAAAATTGCATGAATAAAGAAAATAGGTAAAACTTATACAGGTTGTTGATCGTACTCTGTAAGAGGCTAAAGAACATCCTATACATGGTAATAACAAGAATAAGACGAAATGAAATTTAATTACTGGCGGAAATGGTTAGTATTCACATATGACAAGTACTTCATAGATTAAGAATTCATTTTGATTTAATGTTTATGTAAAAATAACTGGACAAAAACAAAATTTTCACAGTATATATTTTACTTCATCATAATAAGATAATCATTCAATAAACGTACGATTTGGTTTTAATTGTATCCATTCTTCTGAATCATTATTAGCATGATCAGTATGACTTTCGTAAGTTGACTCAATCTTTGTAGGTTTCACAAGGTCTGTTATATCATTCAATATTTGACAATCATTATGAGCAGGTGTTGATGATGGACTAGATGGACAACTTGTCATTCGACTACGAGGAAGACTTTTATAAAACCATGCACCAGAACGTTTCCAAATCTAAATAAATGTTTATTTATTTCATCAAATAACCAGTGAATAATGATCAATAATTGAAACTGATATAATAAATTGCTTTTTCATAAAGTACCATTCAATGTTAAATGCTACATATTCATATGATAACATAAACAAAAATACTATATGAACACAGAAAGACTGTATCGCCTTATGAAGGTAATTAATTTGTTATATGACTTGATCATCATCTAATAGCATCAATATTGAATAGACAGTGATCAACATGGCTGAACCTTCACTAGAACACTGGAACTGTCGCTCGAGAGCGTAGTTACTGTAAAGCAACACATTATTATTTTAGTAGCTAGCTTCTAGAAAACAATTTACTTTGAATATAGTGTACATTATGAACCGAAGTAATCAGGTATCACTGAACTGGATGATCATTAAGAAGTGTTGAGCCAACTGAAAGAGTTCAAGTTATTGGGTTCAGTTTTGTAAGGAATCGTTAGTGAATACTGTCGAGAAAGATCGAAGTAATTCCGAATGGTTTTTAATAGCTGATCATCAATTATTGATCACTATTCAAAACTAAATTCATGTTGAACAAATCACCGTGAAACACTTATCTCACAGATATTTAATTAAAAATTAATGGCATGTTTTCTATGGAAAATATTTTTCTGAAATTTGAATCGATTTGATAGATATTACTCCTTTCAATCTACTGTTTTTCTAAGGTCACATTAAAGTTTTACTCTGGCTAGTCATTTGTTTATCCACTTTCACAATTCTGATTAAGTGAATTGAATCTTTATGTCTACAATCGATATAATGAGAAGTTTTGATTTTGCAATGAGTCTACTAATCAGATGAATGATATTTTTTATAGCTTATATTATCACCTCCTCTGATTGTATAAGAAAATGCAATATTATTAAGTTTCACTTGTAGGTCTATGGTTAGTAACTTCGGAGATACGGTAAAGTATTCCCTTCTTTCTTATCATCTTTTGTAACATTTTAAACATTGAAAGAATAATAGAATATCACAGTACATGTTGATCACACGAAACAATTAAACAATTTATGTACATACACTTTAAAACATGTAAACTAAACTTACTTCCCTGGCTTCATAACATATTTTACAAACAAATGAATGACTATCCCCTTGACGTGCATTTGCTTTAACTCTAACCTTTTCAAATAACTGTTGACTATGTAATGCGGCTGAATTCAATGTACCAATTAAACTACCTCGACGATTTAAAAATCTCGATTTACTAGAATCAGATGGTAATGTTTTCAAAGTGTTCGAATTAGTTAAAGTTGTATTCCCGTTTTGTGAATTATGATCCATTGGACTGCACGTTTGATTTTTTGTTGTATTCATTAAATTTCCACTTTTGTATGTACTTGATATCTTTTGAAAATTGAGCAGTGAATTACGCTTTGTCATTGGCTGTCGACATGATTGTGGAATAACTAACTCGACACAACACGCTGTACATACACTTCGACCACATTCTACACAGACTATGGGTAAGTTACTTAAATGTCCAAATTCTTTACGACATAATACACATTCTTCATTTCTTTTAGCACCGGCTGTTTGTTTTAAATGATCAAGTTTCTGAAGCATCGCTCTATGAAGGATAAACGTTATATGAGAAAAACGGAACGATTATTGAGATATTTTATCAAAAAATGAAATAGATCAAAATGTGAATTACGGTAGAAGCTATTGTTGTTCCGTACTCATAGATAAACAAGTCCAACTGCCTAGAGAGATTCATAACGTAATATAACTGTCGGTTTTATTTCGTATTGAGTAACTGTTTAGTCAAATAGTTCACTCAGTTTCCATGTGATCGTAATAAGATGAAGTATTGCGTTCATGGAGACGATTTATACACAAGCACTAAATATTTGCTTCTTGGTTAGTCTCAAATGTCGTACATTCAGCGTTTCTATTTATTTTATTAAATTTTCAAGTTAAAATAATATGTTGTAGTATTCAAATAGGTGAAAAAAAAAAAGAATTCCTAGTGTTTCACAGCTTATTGTGCGTAACTTCTTCAGAGAATTAAATTGAACAAAGCAGAACATTAAGTAGAATCAAGGTTATTCTGAACGAGTAACATTCAAAGTGATTCATCAATTTTCAATGTTCACTAAGTCTGTAGTATGTACTATTTTCCTGAACTTTTCCGATCACTTAGTGAGTGGGTATTTCACTTAAGAGAAAATTCATCTGAAGATTTCATCTCCAGTACTTCAAGTTATCTAAATTTATCTGCAATAAATAAGTCGGTTAAAGAATTCCTAATGTGACGGATTAAAACACAAATATCGGAAAAGTTTAGCGCTTAAAGTGAACTCTACAGTGTATAGTGGACGCTTATTAGGATCATTAAATTAACAAGTAAACAGGAAAATGCCAAAATAATGCTTGATATTGCACACATATTGAACATTGAAAACAGATGAATGACTATATTTGTTTAAATGTTATGTCATTTTGGTCAAAATTTTTCTCCGTTAAACATATCCATGTACATTTATTTGCATGCTTGTAGATGTGATAAAATGTTATATACCTAATGTGAAAGATTTGAATTAAATTTGTGCCCGTTAACTATGTAAACATATAATTCTTAAAGTATGATTATTAAGATAAATACGTGAGGATGGATGGATCGTTAGGTCACTGAGATTCAACGATAAATCAAGAAAAGCTTCAGTCAATTGCCTTTCTTTTTAGGTGGAAAATCTTTATGAAATATTTCAATATTAATAACGTGGATTCGATCAATGTAGAAAACTAACATCAACTGCTGTTGATGTTGATTTGATTTGTAAGTTTTTGACACCTACAGGATTGTCTGATGAGTATGTTTGTTTGATTGCAAAATAAATAAATTATCAGAAAATTACTTACGCAACTCTAGCCTTTTCATTTTCAGCTAGTAATTCATTACGTCGTAGAACACGCAAAATTTGTTCTTCTTCATCGGTTGTTAACGGCTGATCTCGACGACGTTGCGCTGATTGCGCTCTAGAAGACCAACCGGTTCCAAGTCTGAGTGATTTATGAAAAATATACATTATATACAAATTTAGGTTTGTTATTATATGTGCGATTGGAAAACTGTGTTCAAAATAAAATAAGTCAAAACTACTGAATAGCTGTTCTTTTTAACTTCTTTGAATTACACATCGTTGCGTACACATAAAAATATGAAATTAATTGTTTAGTAAAAGAAACTTATGATTCGGTTATTTTGTCAGAAAGGTGAAATCTCAAAATTCCGAAATATCAATGAATCAATACTTAGGTAATTTTCATATTGTAATTGTTTTCAAGTTTATTTTCTCTCGGCGAATCTCATTATCAAGAGAGTAGTCGTACTGAAGTACTATTCTATTTGGTTTGAGTTAATCAGATAACCTGCGAAAATATTCAAAAAATTAATCAGCTTAATAAAGCTGAACTAAGTAGTTGTTTCACTGATACGGACCAATACTCAGATGTCCTCTGAGTAACCAAGAGACAAAGCGATGACGAGAGACTTGCTACTCTGTGTTTGAACGATGGTCCGTAAGGAACTTGTCCTAACCGAAGGGGAAGAACAAAAACTGATTAGTACTAGTTCTAGATTCATAACAACATTCCAAACGTTCCTCCGTATATACACGCAAAACAAGACCATATCGTAAACTTTATGGATATTCACACTTATATATGAGTGAGCCAAAGGTGACTGTGAATAAGGGAGATAGTAAATAATGAACTGTCAACAAAATAGGAATAGTAAATCGTATGATAATAATTATTGGGTTAATAGAAAGCTAATGATAGAGGGAATGTATATATATATATATATATCTAATAGTTTAGTTAATCAATAATTATATAATTAGATTATATACACCAATAGTTCATAAATTAGTTGCATAAGTCACTATTTACTTTAGTCTTCATCCATATATAACTTATGTGTAGACAACATCATAAGACAAACATTAATTCAAATTTTCGATAACTTCATGACACTTTTTTAAACATACACTGGCTAAATTGAGCAGTATGATATTAACTACTGTGTGGATAGATGATTACAGTTGTTAAAGTTGAGGACAAATCTATAAGTTGGAGTAACAGACAAAAATATAACTGTCATATATATATATATATATATATATATATATATATATATAAAGTTGCATGTCGATGAAACAGAAAATTCATTGTATGAAAAGAAGTGACAAGACAGAAATGGTAATGTTAATATATAGGTAGGAAAGAAACACAATCATCCGTAAAACGTCACGTTGAAATAGCCTGGCTTTCAAAATAAATCAAAAACTATTTGATGAATAAATTCTATGGTAGTACTCAAAATAAAAGCGGAAACTACTGCTTATTCTGATATTCTGTAATGATGGAAATGATCTAGGCTAAAACAAATGATGACTAAAATGTGATTTTCAACCTTATCATTAAACGAAAGTTTCCTTCCTACTATATTCATCTAACATATTTACTTTACCATTCGATGTAGGAAGTCTTTTACAAGTGTTTCATTCATTCATTCTTTAAATATTGATGAAAATTTATTTTGTCAAAATTTCATACCTATCGATACAATTTTAACTGTTCTATTTTTAAACAATAAATTTCATAATGTTCAAAAGTTGAATTATACTTGACCATTGTTGCATATATATACTAGGCAATAAAATGAAAATCATTCATATAGAAAAAAGAAAAAAGACAATAGTCAGTATGATAAGGTTTCTTGAAGCTGAAATTGGTTATTCTTTAAAAAATTTGAAAAAAAATCTAGTAAGTTCATGATAAGGTTTTCATCATTTATGATCAATGAGTCGATAAGCGTAAATACTCTTTATACTCAATGAAAAGTGATGTTACAGTAATGACAGATGATTAGTTAAACTCATGTTATAATAGTGAAGATTTTCAATTTCAGTGAATATTCTCAGGGTTTCTGAGTTCACTGAGCTATAAGGACGATTTACTAAGCTTACATCTTCTGTTTCAGACATCATCATCAGCAGCAGCAGCAGCACTTATTTCACGCAGAAGTTACACTCATCTATGTAAGACAAATGAAAAGTAAACTTCTTAAATTTCAAATGATTAACATCTATTTCACAACATATTTACGAGATGAACAAAAAGATTATCAATTTATAGGTCAGAACATATGTGAATATTTAAAAAAGGTGTGCTATTATGAAGTGTGGATGAAATATTCTGACTATTAACGTTGGTCGAATTGTATTTGTAAGTATTTACTCAGTGTTATTCAATGTAAATGTATATGTCAGCTGATTCTGACAAAACTCGTCTTAAGAAATATCTGACTTAAGCTTAAAATTCACATTATACACGAAGACAAAATTGAGCGAAGAGATTTCTTTTCGATGAATTTATTTTCAGGCAGAGCTCTGGAGGGTTTGTGTTTTTACACATTTGAAATTATGAATCATTCATTGTTAAATCACCATTAGAAACCTGGAAGCACTGGATGGCCGTTTCATCCTGGTCCGCGACTCCTGCCCCTCCCGGGATTCGAACCCGGGATCTTCGATATTGTGCGCGAACGCCTAACCATCAGACCACTGGGCCGGCATTCAACGGTGTTAATGTCTAACTCTGATTGATCTACGGATTTTGCTCGACTTCACCCATTCGTCTTTCATAGTTACTGCCTACAACCGACAGGGTTGAACTCAATTGGTCACGTCTTCTCAACTAGAACTCCGAGAATTTCCTCACGAAACTAGTCACCAGTGAGCATTGTTACGATATTTCCAGTTAGAGCTTTGGGGATTTGTGTTTTTACACATTTTCGAAATCATCAATCAATGAATTGATTATCAAGCTTTACAGTCATGTATAAACCTGAAATTTCATGCATTTATTCCAAGAGAAAATGTGAACAATGACTAAATATGAAAACAAGGTAGAAAGATTGTAATAATTGGTTATGTAGAGTGGGTTATTAGACTATCAATGGATTATTTTGGGAATGGAGTAAGATAATAAAAGTATAATTTTGTCATAATGATCAACAGCAATAGAAAAATAAAATAAAATAAAATGATATCAAAGTCATTTGTGAATCAACTCAGATAGATATTCGAAATAACCAAAGAGAGGTATATTTTCAAATATAAAATCAAGTAATAATACTTGTAGTAATAGTTGTTCTACAGTAAAAACAACAATTGGACGTAAATCATTTTGACACGCAGTTAAGTCTACGTTTCATCGATCGTAAAAGCTTCTGCTAATTGAAGGAGCTTATTATTTAGAAATCTTTATAGATTTAAATGAATTCAGTGGACAAGTTTAACATCAATATGTGTTTTAGTGGATTGATTACAATCCATTAAGTGTTTAAATATAAAACTCTTAACTGCCTTCCTCTGATCTTTATTGAAATATACTGGAATATTTTCTTATAACCAAGTTGAAAGCAAGCTATAACTATAGCCTATGAACTTTGTTCCACAATAGTAAATGAACTTGTAGATTCACATTGAGACGATCAGAAGAAGAAGTTTATTCTCCACATATACAGGACCGTGCTGTGATTACCGTCAATGATCGATTCAAACGTACATCAAAAGTATGGTCAATTTTAAATTAAAAATTCATATAAAGACATTTCCTTAGAAGGAATTCCTGAATTTTTTATTCTTCTTCTTCTTATATTTATTCTTCTCTGTAAAGCGGCTTGGATAGTAGTTGTCAATGAACGGATTTTTAACGAAATCTTCCTCAAAGCATTTAGCGCTGTAGATTCTACATATCTGATAACATGAGAAATATATTAGATTACAATTTATGCTTAATTAACTCAAGCTACGGAAGTTAGATCGTTGGATGTTTTATGTCCAGTTTGTGTAAATATACCTTTTCAGAGATTCATTACTCCCTTTTCTCCTCAGAGGCATGTGGAATAATCAGAATTTACAGTACACCTCGTGTTCTAACGTGAGGTTTTGGAAAAGATGACAGGTATCGAAAGAAAATACAAACTGCCAATAAAATCGACATTCTAGTAGTAAACAAAAATTCGTCCACATATCTCTTGTCTAGGCTAAATCAATTGGTGAATAAATTACGTTGACTATTTTCAGGCTTACACACTTAAAATAATTTTCTACGATTGGGCTCGATGGAGATCCCATTAAGATTCCTTCTCTTTGTCTGTATATTTTGTTAGAGTCTACATAAATTTGTTGCAAAATAATCCCTCAGTTGAATTCATTATTTTAAAATTAAAGCTGGAGAATCTTTCAACATAGCCAAGGAAAAAAACTCACAGATTAAAACGAACATTTTCGATATCACCTATCTACACTACTCCAATCTGATCAACTAGACTGAGTTAGAATCGTTGACTATACAATCAACAGTTTTGTTGCTTTTTTTTCTACAACGGTTCAATAAAAAGGTTTCCTTTAGATTAAAGTAAATTTTCATGCGACAATTAAGTATACAAAAGTTGGGCGCCATTTATAATGCAATCAGTTTTTTTAAACATACAGAAGTTATTACATAAAGGATAAAATTTCCAGCTATTACAAGTCATATATATATATATATATACAAACAGTAGTGATGTAATTTGTTATTAATTATTGTAAATTTATTTTCTATTTCCTTGTTTAATTCATTTGTCTGCCTTTTTAATATTTCATAATGTAATAATCAAGAACATAAATGCATAAATCACCTGTTCATTAATTAACTAACACAATCAATTCACAAGTAATACACTTACGTAGAAATAACAATGTTGATTTATTTCTAACATAAGTTATGTAGTTTAGAAACGAAATTGGCATAAAATAGATAATGATAGTCCTTATTCAGGTATAGCGGGTTTTATCAAGACCATCTACATATTTTTATTCAAAATTAAAGAGATTGGTAATTTGTTTGCAAAGAATTAATTTAAACATTCAAATGAAATATGATTAATAGGATTTCAGCGTTAAATAGATCTCCTCCTCGAGCCTTTCCAGGGTGACTGCCTGTCCCTAGCCTGGATAAACCAGAAAGGTTGGGTTTGAGGTTATCAACCCAATCCCGGAGACATCCAACCTGCTAAAAAAAGGCTAACCAGAAAGAATAGTTTGCTGGTCAACAGTCCTTGCACCATTAAGGGTAACTAGCGTAAGAAAGTAAGTAATAAAACGTTAATACTAAATCAATCTATTCCAAATAACCTGTGACACAGTTGAATCATGACAGTCTTTATACGATTCACATATACCAACAAAAACATCAAAATTCATTCCTAAATATCAACAACGGCTTAACTAAACTCATGCTAATAACGCCAAAAACATCATATCCTTCGAACAAGCTAGTGGTTGTCTGAACTTATTTCCTTAATTGAGTGACCAGTTAATGTTACAAATGTTTTGGCACTGATTTGAAGTTTCACTGTGATTGAGACACATCTAATTGACGAATAAGTTTCAAGTTGGGTGAAACATTAATCCTAGATTTTACTACTGATCACAATCTGTCTTTTTTAAACTTCTATGTAACAGTTCACAAATATTCTAAGAGCGATCAAATGTACAACTGGGAAAATTATTTTGTGGAACTAAACATTTGAGAATCAGTTTAGTAAATCCATGAAATAAAGTTAAATTTAATGTTTTCTATATTGCTATTAGAAGCTAACCATAACATTCATTTAAAGTTATCGAAACGCAAACAAACAAACTCATCTTTTGTAGTAAAAATAGGTTTACAATTATTTTAAACTTCCTATGAATAAGAAAGGATTTAAAATTTCCAAGTGAACTGATAGATGCATTTAACACTCAACAGTGAACGACTACGTGATATATAATCAAACATACTGATAACATAATTAATTCTTAAATATTGAACTAAACATCTGATATTGCATTAGGTTTTGCACTTCGTGGTCATGAGAAAAGGATAAAGTACATCTTACAGCTCACAACAGCTATAATTGTGTTAGTAGATTTTGACAATGGTAACTATGTATCGATGTTTAGAACCACAACTGATCAGTCTCTTTTGACATGAGTGCACATTGTGCAGGTGGCCTCGATATTGTCAATAGGAAACAAGCATTTGTTAACAAATATGAATAGTGATCGGTAATGAAATCCAGGACTCGCATTTCTTCCTCTTTGGTACTCATCATCTGTGTAAACTTGCATCTTCAAGTTGTTGTTCATTCGAGGACATGATAAGAACATTGAGGTGATCCACATAAGATTCATCTATACCAGAAGAGACCGATAAATTACAGGGCTAAACATAAATGGGAATATTTTATTAATCAATCAACTTGGTAGTTGAGACGATCAAATAATGAATGATGTTTGAAGAAAATAGTACTGAGCTCGAATCTCGAACTGAACAGGTACATTTGACTGACCAGTTTGAAAAGGACAAAACAAACAACTTGGATTTCACTGCTAGCCATAATCTAATTCTGTTCACAACTCAACCATTGTTCATCTCGATTTTTATTTATTAGAACAACCTTTTCACAAAAACTATATTATCATAACATATAAGCTGCCTAAGACTGATATTGAGGAATATTTTTGAATTCCTGACAATCAAATCAATTAGAGAAATATTCCTCTCTAGAAGTTTTCCACCAAACAATACACATAATCGTTTATTCAATACAGCATAACATCTATCCATCTCTATTGAAATGATCGAATTCAGTTATTGACTATCTCATTTTATCAAAATGAAAGTAGTTTTACAATACAAATCATGATTTTGCATTCTTCTCCACTAACCACCACTACATTCGAAATATCGAAAAAACCACTAGAAAAAAAATCACATAATATAAGTCAAACTAACTCATATTTATTTCAGTGAGAATAAGAAGACGGAAAAGAAGAAGAACTCAAATATCGGATTAGCACTAAAAATAGACAATAATTCACTCCTACGCATTTACAGATCGAATTTTTTACTATTATTATTATTATTATTATTATTATTATTATTATTATTATTATTATGATTATTGAATTTGCAAATAGAACAACTCCATTAAACTAATCAAGTTTCACGAATAAATCAGTTTTTTATTACTGTGTAATCAGATCATTCATGTAGTGAATTGTATCTCAGTATAAAAATCGGATTATTTGTGTGTGTGTGTGTGTATGTATGTGTGAAATACAACAATTTAATTTTCATGCTGTTATTGAATGAAAAATCATTCAAGAAAAAAAATATGTCCACACTCATAAAGGAAAAAAAATTCATGTTTTTCTTCAATTTTGTTTTTTAAGCAATTAAATAATTGTCCTGTTTATTCTCAAGATAATATCAACCAAGTTAAATAAAGAATGTTGACGAAAATTGTATTGCATTGCATTGCCAGCGAATAGCAGAATAGTAGAATGTATGTTTATAATTAGGCCACATAATTTAATACTACTCAAATCGAACGAGTAGTGCACTGCATTTATGGATGTTACAATGAATTCAATAAATATTTACTATCTGCATTGTGAATAACTAATTCATGACATGCATTCACTTATCCTATTTGGGATTTCATCAACTAGATCTATCTGCATCGCGGTATTATTGATCATGCTGATGCTAACACGCATCTTCAATGTGAATCAAGTTATATGAAAGATATTTTCAGTTAGAGCTGTGTAGATTTGGGGTTTTGCACATTTTTTGAAATCATCAATCAATCATTGTTAGACAAACACTAGAAACCTGGAAGCACTGGACGGCCGTTTCGTCCTGGTATGGGACTCATTAGCAGTGCGCATGATTTCAAATGTGTAAAAACACAAACCTCCAAAGCTCTAACTGAAAATATCGTAACAATGCTCACTAGTGACTAGCTTCGTGAGGAAATTCTCGGAGTTCTAGTTGAGAAGACGTGACCAATGGAGTTCAACCCTATCGGGTGTAGGCAGTAACTAAATACATAAAATAAACGCTCAAACTATCTATCAATCGATTTCTGTTATGAGGAAAATTATATATTATTGTACGGTTAGTTTTAGGAGACACTGCTTAATTTAAACAGAATGACTATAAAGTAAATCCAAATGAGAATTAGTGGAAGTGAATAATGGCAAACTATCAGTCATTAGCTGTACACTTTTCTATCCAGTGTTATTAAGATTTCAGTTTAATCTTGATGTTTGTTCAATTCACAATTAATAATGGTATAAAAAACATCAGGATAAATTCATTTGGACAAGATAAAAACACTTTCATCTATCTGATGTTCATTTTAGTGTACTGAAGCAGTTTTTAAGATGATTATCGTCAAATGCCATGCTCTAAAAACTTGGTTAACATAACACTTAACTTTTGATATCTATTATTATCTCGGAAATTATAGGTTACTGCCATCAAATTAGAATATGTAGAACATGAGTTTTGATGTCGTGAATAAATCTAAACAGGATTTAGTCTTTTCAGATATCTGTCTGTCAAAAACAAAAAAATCACAAGTTTGAAACCTAATGCATATGGTTAAAAATCAAAGAATGGAATGTTCAACGTCCAATGTAGCGTTGATTTTCACACTGAAATTTAAACTTAGTGCTTACTGCTTCAAAAACTAATATATTATTATCCATTAACAATAATTTGAAAACTAAAATGTTTAACTTTAGAAAAAGAAAAAAGAAGAATCATACATTAGATTTATCATAAAATAAAGAACTTACCTTGCACGTAATGCTAATTGTCTATCGCTTGGACAAATATACGTTTCCATTGAAATGAAGTGTAAATAGAGATGTACGTTTTTTTTTCTTGTTGATTGACTTTCAATTCAGCAAATTCGACTGTTATTATTCTTAATAAATATCAGTGCTTGAGTGATTTTTTTTATTATACCTTAGAATAAAATAAAAAATCGGAAAAAAATAGCAAAGAAATTACGTGTTTCAAATGATCCGGGAAATAATTTATAATTAGAAAAAAAACACTTTAAATACTAAATGATAATCTCTTTTCTTTTGAGATTGCAATGTTTATTTTATTTCTGCCCCGTCAATTTGTCTAACAGATAAAATGAAATACTTTAGTAAAACAAAATCTCGCTGAAAAATTCATATCTAAGCGCACGCATCATATTCATAAGCAAAAAGAGAATAGTAATTATTTTTCCAATGAATTCATAAAGCATCATTGTGAATAGACAATTTAGTGTATTCGAAGGGTTTCACAAAAGGCAAATGTTTTCATAATGTCATTTATTTTGTTTAAAATAATCATTTTGATTAATCCAGTAATGATACTAGCCAAAAGAGTTAACAGGAAACATTAGGGAATTTAAATAACAAGTTGGATAAAATAGTCGATGTGTTTCTATTGTGTACTGTATACTATTTGCCGAACCAGCTATCAGATTCATTGTTAAATACATCATGATTCATATAATCTGACTGTGAGATTATCTATACCTTCTCAAAATGGAATCTACTACTATGTCACTAATGATTACCGTCACAACAGATTGAACATTATGCAATGGCATTTGTTATCAATTCAAAAACTGATGAATTGGAATGAATATTTCATTGGTGATGAGCAAAAGACGTTTCGATAACTTCTTTTTTTAATTTGCTCAATATTCAAGAATCAGTTAGTTCAAATCAGTTAAATGTGTGTCTTTGGTATGCTAAGGCTCTTAGTTGACTTTCAGTTTTAGTTAAACATGGCAAATTAGTAAGTTTTATTAGAGACTTTCATCTACTAAACTATTAAATCAAACAATGCATGTTATTTTACAATAAATTACGGTTTATTATTCCGACTAGTATTTGTGACATTTAAAAGGAAGTGCACATATCAAGACAATAATATCAGTAAGTCAAGACAATAAATATTAATTTACACTTTGAAATGAGATTACAGTCTCATTGTGTTAGGCTATGAGTGTTGTCAGAATTCTATGAATAGAAACTATGATGTAACTTGAAGTCAATATCAGAGACTGAGGTACGTCTTTTACACAAAACAATTTTGTATTTCACACTGTTCCTATCCCTAATTTGTTCAACCTTTAGAACAGTATTTCTTACGATTTATTTTTTTAGGCACTGAGAATCATTGTATGTTGAGTTATAATGTCTTGAAAAGCTCCCAGAAAGTTTGTTTGTTTCTAACCACATGAAATGAAACGGCAATCAAGAAACCAGTTGCTCAATAGGTTTATCCATCACAATTTACCTATCAGTTATAACATGAAACTCACTTACATATAGAATTTTTCCGCAAAAATATTAATAATTTTCACAAAAAAATGAAAACCGAACGAAATAACTGAAAACTCATTTTTCTCCAATGTTTGATTTACTCGATGTAATAAATCATTATTTTATTGCCGGCAAATTTTTTTTAATCATCTATGCAAAACTAGTAAAAAAAACGATCAAATTTTACGCTGGAAGTTTTATTTCTTCAAAAAATCATTACGCTAATAAGAAAATATGCAAGTAAAAACATTTCCCTTCTAGACAATCTCATTACTTTTATCTTTTCAAGAATGAGTTCGTGCATTTTTTTTCTCCTCGATTAACTAGATAACTCATTGTAACTTTCATTAAAATAGATTGACTTTGTATCGTTTAGACAAACTCGAACACACTAATACACAACATATAAGATGATTACTATTGAAGTGGAGTATCAACATGGAAATCAATTTATGATGTAAGAGTTATTTCAAGTGTACTACGTATTTAAATCATTTCCACTTTGTTGAACTTAAACTAGAAATGCAATTATTTAAAAGAATTCTTTTTAGTAGTTATATGATGAAAACGCTTGCCTAATGTTTTCTGTTGTGTATTATTTATGTCAAGAGATTAGTGTAACTTATAAAAAATATACATTTACATATGATATGAGATTTTTGATATGATCTAAGATGCAAATATCTCATTATAAAACAACATGTAAATTACTCAGTTTTGTCTTAGATTTTATGATCTGATAATGGATTGGATAAGATAAATATCACAATATCGAAATAAAGTCAGTTATAAATGACCATAGAATCGCCTATATATATGAATCAATACAAGCTTTAATAATTTTTATGATTTTAATAGGAGAAAGTTAACAAATTATTGAAATTAGTGTAGTCAATCTGTTAATAGTACTAACTGTAAATAAATACTCAAATAGAGAAAAAATTTTCACGGTTGAAAACATCAACAGATTTTAACTAGGCCATTGGTGAAAAACAACTCCGCCAGTAGAACCTTCGGGGCTACTGCCGGTCCCAAACCCAGATAAAGGAGGAGGGTTGGGCATGGGTTTGGCGACCCCATCCCAACTAAAACTAACTTGCCAAAACAAAACGCTAACCAGAAAAAATAATTCAAACCATTTTAACTCTGCCCTGGGAGTTGGAAGAAGAATGATGACGTCGCGTGATGGAAGCCAAGTTCCCTCGGAAGTCACGGGGCCGATGCCTCTTCTGACATGGGGAGAATGAACAAACATTGGACGGAACTGGAGAGGGAAGCCCAGGACAGAGTTGGTTGGAGAAAACTGGTGGGCGGCCTATGCTCCATTGTGGGTAACAGCGTATGTAAGTAAGTAATTGGTGAAAAACGACCGTTTTATTTTAGTATGGGGCTTCTCTACAATGAACTAACTGTGACCTTGCCTGCAGGAATCGGACCCAGGACCTTCAGTTTGAATAGGACGAATGAAACGAAAGTATGAAAAATATCTAATAAATATATTAAGATGAGAAGAAGAAAAATTAGTGGAAATGTCGATACTATCTAAAACGGTTTTGAAATATGTTTATAAAAGTCTGTGATAATATTTTCCAGTTACTGGATGAACTTTTATAGGAAATTCTTAACCATTGAAAGTTATTTAAACCAACATTCATTTACCTAATCCATAAATGTCACATTTCGGATTAGCTACTTTTAAAATTTCTCTGTAATAACCATGATTATATATTGATGGTTGAACAGGTAAAGTACGAGAATGTCTGTACTACATAATTCAATCTTTGTTTGTTACATATTTTTCTGAGGAGGAATGGATGAGTAACATTTATTTTCACTAATATTAGTACAAACCGTCGCCTAATACACTTTCCTAATCCATTTTGACATGCATTTTATTTTTAGACGCTATTTATGCTATTGTCCAATGGAAGTAGTAGTAGTGAAATTTGAAAGAAATCTACCGACTAATGATTCAAAATAGTTTCCTTTATTCGTACATTCACTTTTACACTATCATAGGTTTTACACTCTAACTAGCTTTTGGTAACTGTATCAAACTGTACTATAAAAGAAATACATTATCTTAGTGGCTTTTAATATGGACAGATTATAGTAAAAAAAACTGCTGAAAAAGTGAAGCCAGTAAATATTTATTTCTTCCTAGTATTCTGCAACAGTATGAATTCAGAGTTTCATTCATAGATTGAACAATGGAAATTCAAATGTCTTGGCAAGGGCTTCTTCTATAGATCTTTGAGCTGAAATTCAGTGGTTTAGTAGTACGGCTTCAAATAATTCATGATTTTGTACAACAACATTTATCAATCGTATCACTTAATAAATAATTTGTCGTTTTTTTTTCTCAATTTACTTCAAAACAAAGCAATAAACATCATTACATAACATAATTTTTTTTGTAAAACAATCAAAACATTGTGTCTGTGATATAAAAGTTTACCATTATAAACTGTATGTGTATTCTAGTTTTCCTCTTAAACAGTTACTAATATGTTGTTGGCATATAAATATTCGTGGTGGTCTAAATCGGTTTGAAGTTTCTTTCTGAACAATAAATACATGGTAGAAAAGTTGTAAATTACATTAAAACAATTATATTCTATTTCCGTAAACCAAAATCAGTCGGTAAATAAAAACACTTGAACATGAATTTTTTCTTTAAAGTTTCCTTTTTCGTTTATTTTTCTTGAAGAAAAAGTTATCATGGCTGAATAATGTTATGTTTAATCAAGTGGGTAGGTAGAAATACGAATATTCTTGTATTTATCATGTACCTAGACTTATCTAATCATAATTATAAACTATTATCTTGAAGAAAATAAAATGAAACAAAGAAATATATCAATTGCACCCCTGACACGCAAACAAACACAATCTTTCATCCTTTTATCAGAAAAACGTAACTATGACGAAATTCACATCTGATGTTCAATGCTTTCAGGTCTATTGAAAGCAACGCAGAACTTAGATACTTTGACTCTTTGAGATATGTGATCTTGACGGAAACTCATTAAATTCATAAAAAAATGGACACAATATACACCATGTTGAAAGAGGGTTGATTAGTTTTCATCATATTAAAATGCCTTCTTTATTAATTTTCGACATGAAATCAATTATAATGTGACAAATCAAAATATCAAGAAAAATTCTATTACTTACTTAATTCATTGTACAATTTAATTATTGAAAACAACTATCACCATTCTAATTGTTATTTTGAATTGATCATTTCTTTTTAACAAAACAAAGGTTTACATCACTTAGTGCAATTAAATTATGTCATCCAAATTGAAATGATAGTAGTAACATTTTATTTTTTCTAATCAATCTTTTTCTGTGATAACGTTTTTCAGTTATATAACTTATATTAACAACTAGTTGTGAATAAGTAAATTTCATCTGAGTTCAGATGAAGCGATACTTATAATGTATATCGCATTCAACAGTCTCAACTAAAACAAAACAGGAATGTTAAGTTCAATGGTAATCAGAAAATAAATATTAGTCTTCTCATCACTTGAATTATGAATAATTGCACAAATCAT